GAAGGGGAAGGATGAAAGGTCCAAAAGATAGTAAAACACAAGCAAAATAATATGAGTAAGACCTACTCATAATCTTTTTTCCTTTCGGTGAGCCCCAGCGACGACCGGACAGCCAAAAGCATTCACAAAGAAAGATAGCGCAATGAATCTCAACAAGGGAAGAATAAAATAGAAAAGAACGAGGAATGTAAGTATGGGTTTTAAGATTAGAAGCATGTATTAGCACGCAATAAATTAGATAGCTTCTGTAAGCACCACCCATAATTATCTTTAGCTTTGTCATAACTGTCTCGCGCCCTTTTTATGTTGTTAGCTTGTATAAAACAGGATTTTGAAAAGAAAGGGAGGATATTACGTTTTCTACCGTAATTATTACTGCCTGCAAATGCTTTCGTCACTTCTTGCCCATCCATAAATGCAAATAAAGGATGAGGATGGATGGACAAGAGGAAGCAGGCAATGATTTGGAAGAGGCCCCAAAGACAGGCTGGAAAGGGATAGTGAGGGAATCTTCAATCATCATATCCTCCAAGTCTCACGGACAGGCTATCTGGTGTATTCTGCGTGATGTCTGGGCGGAAGGTTTTCTTAATCATTCTTTGTTCTTTCACACCTTTCCCTTTCCCTTACCTTCATCGATTGGTCTAACCTGGTATGCGATAAAATCTCTGAGATACAAATGAATCCATCCCACAATCCCAGTCGCCTTTCCATGTCTTTCTATTTGTACGGTTTTCTCCATCTCTTTCTCCATCAGGTATGTGTGGTATGAAAGTTATCCAAAAGAAGCGTGTTGCAGAAGATGTCCTCTCTCCTTTACCTATCTTATGTTTATTTCTTTATCCCTGTCTTTTCCATCCTAGTTTATTGAGTTGATTGTAGGAAGAAATGGTCAGGGGAGAGAGTGAAAGATAAAGAAAGGAGTATGAATTCGAGATCCTAAAGAAAAACAAACACATGGAAATAACAGAAAAGAGAGATTCCAAATGAAAAGATAATATGCTTTCCTCCCCATTTCCTTACCAAACTTCAACCGATTCAAAATGAAACAAACTTGACCCAAAAAAAGCCGTTAAGGGAAGGACGGTGATCAAGTTTTATCAAGTTTACAATGTTCACACCTTTACTTGTAATTTGTGTAATTCTGGACCGACTTTTTACAAACTAGCTTGTGCAATTTGCAACCCCCGAGCAATGTTTGTTCAAATCCAGCTTGTAATTCTAAATCGGATGTTTGCTGACATTGAAACGTACTCTGGGGAATTTGCTTTCCGGGGAGATTTGGCTGGAGTTACCTTACAAGTTTTACACATTTTGCAGATTAGTTTCTGAACTATGCCAAATTCCAACAAATTTGGTTAACAATTAAGCATTTCACAAAATGTCGCAAGTACATGTGTAAAAAGTGAAATTTCCAGATTTTACAAATGAATTTGCAAAATTTGTGAAATATAAAAAAACCTGGCCCAAAATTACAAATTTTACGAATTAATTTGTAAAATTTGTAAAACATCAAAAAAATATGGCCCAAAATTACAAATTTTACAAATTTTACAAATTCTAGTCTGAGAAATTAGCTTCCAGGGGAATTTGGTAGGAATTAAATTACAAATTTTACAAATTTTACAAATTTACAAATTAATTTGTAAAATTTGTAAAATATCAAAAAAATCTGGCCCAAAATTACAAATTTTACAAATTTTACAAATTCTAGTCTGAGAAATTAGCTTCCAGGGGAATTTGGTAGGAATTAAATTACAAATTTTACAAATTTTACAAATTTTACAAATTTTACAAATTAATTTGTAAAATTTGTAAAATATCAAAAAAATATGGCCCAAAATTACAAATTTTACAAATTTTACAAATTAATTTGTAAAATTTGTAAAATATCAAAAAATCTGGCCCAAAATTACAAATTTTACAAATT